TAACCATTAGTGGGTTGTTTGGGACTTTATGGTGCAAAGCAGCTAAGTTAGCTGCGCAAAACCATAGGTAAGAAGTCAAAAACTAAAAAGTAAATGACAGTAAAAAGAAAATAAGATGAAAGCTAAACAGTAATCAGAAATCAGGTAAAAAAAAAGTTCACAGAGAAAAGCCAATGCCCTGTAAAAATTGAAAACACGATCAAGTTGGACAGGTTTATGGGAGTGTATAATACATTGCTAAAACAGATTGATCAGTATCCCATTCATAACTACTATTATTAGATAATGGCACAACGAATCGACTTTCGCACAAAACAAGTACTACCCATGTACTCGATATGTATTTTTCACTATTAGAATCAATGCTCGCAAGTGTTTACTACTATATAGAAGCCACAAATGTTTATTTTACTTAGAATCAATGTCCATACCGTACAAAATTTGGTGTCCAGCGAGTTATCATAAAAATTAATGTACATCACAGTCATGCTTAAAAATGAGTGAATTAATCGGTGGTGGTCCATTCTCCCAACAACATACTTGATGGTGGATAACGTCCTGCTAAGTCTTCTCAGCGCACCTCCAACTTTATACTGATTAGTACACTAGATCGATAAAAAAAAGGGGGTGGGGTTAAGAGGAATGTGGTAGCGAGAGCGAGCGTAATCATTCGTTAGAAAAGAAAGTTCTGGCCAACTGTATGTGCATATAGCAACACTAATAGTTATAACACTACATCTCTCTCTATCGCGTGACATTCATAGTACTATATACGGTGTTATTTAAAGGTCAGTGTGGACACCAATTTAATTCTTGCCCACTCCAGTATTTATAAGAATGAGTGAAAGTGAAGATATATGTCAACCACACCACATTTGCCAGATCCAGTGCCGACAACGTCTATCGACCAATACCAGGGCTAATCAGGTTGGTGTGGGATAAGACATACTGGGGTTTAGGTTCTATTAATATCAGCTTTCATGAAAAATAGTTAATGTCGTGAACTAATTAAATAAGAGAGTCGTAATTATAAGCTATTTACATTA